TCTCTCTCCCTCTCTCCCCCTCTCTCTCTCTTCCCTCTCTCTCCCCACTCCCTCTTTCACCAACTCTCTCCCCACACCCTTTCTCTCCCCACTCTTTTTCTCTCCACTCTCTTTCTCTCACTCTTTCTCTCCCCACTCCCTTTCTCTCACCCACTCTCTGCCCCACTCCCTTTCTCCCATCCACTCTCTCCCCACTCCCACTCTCCCCACTCCCCTCTTTTCTCCCATTCTCCCCACTCCCTCCCTCTCTCCCTACTCTTATCCTCTCTCCCACACTCCCCACTGTATCTCTCTCTCCCCACTCCTTCTTTCTCTCACCCACTCTCTCTCCACTCCCTCTCTCATACCAACTGCCTCTCCCCACTCCCTCCCTCTCCCACTCTCCCCACTCCCTCCCTCTCTCCCACTCCATTCCTCTCTCCCACTCTCCCCACTCACTCACTCCCAACTCTATCCCTTTCTCCCCACTCTCTCTCTCTCACCCACTCTCTCCCCACTCTCTCTCCTCTCTCCCCACTTTCTCCCCACTCCCTCTCTCTCATCCACTCTATCCTCACTCCCCCTCTCTCACCCACTCTCTCCCCATTCCCTTTTCTCCTGCCCACTCTCCTCACTCTCCCCATCTCTTACAATATCCCTCACTGTCCCACTCCTTCTCCCACTCTCCCCTTCTCCCACATTCCCCAATCCCTCTCTCTCGCACTCTTCCCACTCCATCCCTGTCTCCCCACTCCCTCTTTCACCAACTCTCTCCCCACACCCTTTCTCTCACCCACTCTCTCCCCACACCCTTTCTCTTACCCACTCTCTCCCCACACCCTTTCTCTCATCCACTCTCTCTCTCTCCACACCCACTCTCTCCCACTCTCTCTCCACTCTCCCCACTTCCTCTCTCTCACACACTCTCCCCACTCCCTCCCTCTCTCTCCCACCTCCCTCACCTCTCTCTCTCTCCCCACTCCCTCCCTCCCCACTCTATTCCTCTCTCCCCACCCACTCTCTCCCCACTCCCTTTCTCTCCATCCCTCTCTACTCCTCTCCCTTTCTCTTTCTCCCACTCCCTCTCTTTTCTACTCTACCCACTTTTCCTTCACACTCTCCAAACTTCCTCCCCACTCCCTCTCTCCACTCTCCAAAATTCTCTCTCCCACTCTCATCAATCCCTTTCTTTCCTACTCTTACTCTCTCTTACACTCCCCACTTCCACATATCTAAAATAAGATTAATAAAAAACTATTCAAAAATTATTATCATATGTTTTATTCTTATTGTTTTACTTAAATTAGTTTTACCTTTCAGCAGAATTGTATAATGTTTTCATAAAATTATAAGGGAAATAACTTTTAACATCACAAAATACTGCTTCCCAGTTTGCAATTTGATCAAAGCATTATACATTCATGCATTTAATTTTTACATACATGCTTGCATGACTATACCATATAAGTGGAAATTTTAGTGAGATGCAAATTTTTCCTTAAAAATTGGTATTTTATTTTTAGCGAGAAGTAATTTTAGCGATTTTAAAAAGCCACTGAAGAAGCTATTACAAATGAAATCCTAATTAAGTTTTTGTGGTATTCAATTTTAGCGATCTCAGTACCTTTGCTAATAATGCCAAAATAAAATACTTGCTAAAATTTCTGTTTATACAGTATTTATATGCTCGGAAAGAAAAAAAATCAAAGAAATGACCAAATTAAAAAAAAAATTACATAGGAATGCCACACCAATATTTAATTTCATAGATATTTAAGACATCCCTAATTGAGTATGGTTTCAGACTTTCAGCATTGAAAGGCTGGTAATATATTAATTATTTTATATAATTTTTTTTTGTATTTTTTTCAACGAAAATGAAAAAAAAAATATTCATATCCAAATTAGATGCTCCAGACTTTAAATTTTGCTGTAAGTGAGTGCATCATAATCGAAATTGAAATAAAATTATCAAATTTTAGAGAAATCAATTTTTTTTTTTTTGGCCAATCTCAATCAAAATTAAACTGATCCCACCAAGAATTGTACAATTAATGGAAATAACAAACATTTTATCAAGAATACTAGTTTGATTAAGTGTAATAAGGGTTAAAAAATAATTGACCTTGACAATCAAATAGATTTCTTAACTGTAAATACATGAAGGAGACATGAAGTAGAGAATCTGTGTCCCTCACTTTCGGAAAAAAGACCATGCTCAGTTCCAGAGTGGGGGGGGGGGGTGGGGGGGGGGTGGGTGTCGGATCCCCCCTAAATTTGTAGAATTATTAAATGTATACATGTACTGTATAGCAGGTCAAAATCGCGGTCGGAAAAGATCGCGATTTGTTCAATTTTCAGCAAATCGCAGTCGTTTGAATTCGCGGAAGGAAAAATAATACATTTTTTTAAAAGTACTTGCAAGCCTTTTTCTTTAGGTATATAATGTGTGAACTGATATTTCCTGTCTTTATGTTACAAAATTTGTACATGTATATCCCGTATATCAGATAGGAAAGTAAAGTCTATATAATTGGTCGATTTTGAGCCCGATTGAATAACAACGAAACACTGGACTGATCCCTATTTGAAGTCAAAACAATGTTACAGCGTTAAGATTTTTATTTATTTCCAGATCCAAACCAAAAAAAAAATTGTACCGTAGTCAAAATGTTGTATTTTTAATCTTATAATTGAAATAAATTAATTGTCTTTACCCTGTTTACCAGTAATTGCCTTGATTAAAGGCAATGACTGAGTGACACTCACGGGTGTATTTAAACAAGTATGTTTTGATAAATAATTACATCAAACGTCTACTAGATGGCAAAATTAATCGTTGGCTACAGAAATTAATTGAGCAATTAACAAACTTAAAAAAAACATCAACAACTATGAGTTTGTAATTGATCCATACCCCCGCAAAATTATAGAGACAGTCTACATCTCGGATAAATTACTGCCTTTGTGTGTACGGAAAGACAATTTGAAATAGATTTAAAGAATCTAATCACAGATAATAACAAAATTTCAATTTATCCTTATAAATCTTTAAAGAATTATTCACTGTATGTTGAATTCGCAGAATTTCTTTTCCCGCGAATATAGCGAATATTAACTCCGCGAGTTAATTTCCTGCTGTACAGTATATTGAAGGAAATCAAAAATGCCAATATGGATATATTGATGATTTTATAATGATGATTTTATGAGTTTGTACAAGCCAGATGTCATAACGTTTTATACTACTATCTATAAAAAATAAATTTCAAAAAAAAATTGATCATCTTGGATTCAAACCTGGGACCTCTCACATGTTGAGGAGAGACCCTTACACCACAGAGCTGCTTTATTATTTCGTAAATTTTATGCAACCATTACGTCAGTACCGTAACATACATGTATATATTCACGTTCAATATTGTTGAAATTTTAAAACAATGCATAGTGTCTAATTAAGCCTTTATTAAACAGTTCAAATAGATGTAATAAGAATGAAAAGTGTTATAACAGACAGAATTTATTACCTTGACCTTTGACCTTTTGACCTCAAAATCAATAGGCTTTTTCCTTAGGCCACAGGGACAGGGATTTGTTATGCAAAATTTCGTTGTGAAAGCTCAAAGGGTTCTCAAGATATTGCATGGAAACGAAAGCATTACAGACAGACAAAAAGATGGATGAACAGACAGACGGACAGACCCAAATTAACATCCTCCACTTTCAATGAGAGCAGGAGACAATACGACCACTGTTGAAATAATTATTTCAATAGTGGTTGCAACCTATGTTTGTTATTGAAATACTCAATCTCTCAACCACTATTGAAATAATTATTTCAATACATGTAGTTGTTGCATCAGAGGGGTGAGAGAGGCCCTAGAGAGTTTTAATATAAAATTTCATTGCAAAAGCTCAAAATCTTCTAGAGATATCGCTTAGAAAAGAAAGTGTTACACACACACATGGAATAATTAATTTACAACCTTGAACTTTGACCTTTGGACCTTATAATCAATTAGGGTCTTCTTTATGCCATAGAAAGTTGTTATGTAAAATTTCACTGCAAAAGCTTGAATGATTCTCTACGTATAGCGCGAGAATGAAAAATAGGGTTCTTCTTTAGGCCATAGGAAGTTGCTATGCAAAATTTCATTGCAAAAGCTCAAAGGGTTCTCGAGAAATCATTCTGAAACGAAAGCGTTACAGACAGACAAAAAAATGGACGGACAGACAGATGGATGGACGGGTAGACAGACCTAAAATTAATATCCCTCATTTTCAGTGAAAGTGGGGGACAAAGAGTTGGTGTGGCATTCCTCCTTAATAACTCTTTACTCTGAATAAAGGGCAATAACTCTAGTTCACTTCAATTTGGTCTAAATTTTGTATACACAATAGAGAGAAACAACAATTGTAAGACGTTCAAAAGGCAGTGACAACAAAATGAAGATAATATACACAATAAAATTAAATACAGTGAGTGAAATGAAAATTAGATACTGTAAACTTATTACATTTGGCTGTGTATTCTTTTTAGCGCCTTTCGCGGAAAGCAGTCTCCGCTAAATCAAGTACATCGCTAAATGCTTTGTGTATAAAAGTTTATATAACGCACATTCAAAAAGCGCTAAATCAAATCTACGCCAACTTGTTGCCCGCACCTCAGATCTCCACATTTTTTCCTTATTCAAAATAAGGAAAAAATGCGGACGGGAGTATTTGGACTAATTTTCCGCATTCATTCCAGATTTTCTCCGTATTCAAATTTCCAGATTTTCTCCGTATTCAAAATATGGAGAAAATGTGGATGGGAGTATTTGGACTCTTTTTCCGTATTCTCTCCAGATTTCCGCATTTCCATATATACAAAATATGGAGGTATTTACTTGGTTGATAAAATGCGGAAATACGGAAATCTGGAGAAAATACAGAGTTAATCACATGGTTATAAAATGGCTAATAAAACCGCTACATGATGCATACATACATAAATATTTACAAAACCATCAACAATGTGCAAAATTATATACAATTTATTATATCATTATGAGAAAAAAACATATAAATGAATGAACAAAATTACACATTATGTTCATGAGCAATGTATTGGATCTTATATCTTTGACAAACAAATAGGAGCATGTATGGAAAAAAAACTGGAACTCTTATTTAAGCCACAAGTTCATCATGGAAAAAATGTGGCATTTTTTAATATTCATATTAAATAAATGGAAATTTATTCATTCTATTTAAGCAAAAGTGGGAGTGAAATGTTCAACACTATTAGGTATTGGGGAAAAAATAACAATTGACATAGCATTGAATATTTACAAAACAAGAAAAAACTTTAGACATTTTTTATCAATCTGGATCACATTTGCCATTTTCTACCTGCATCCCTGATTCATATTTCTCACAATTCAATTTATATCTCAGGTCTGTGCTTTACACCCATCTGTCCAATAAAAATTTTCTTCAGACTTCTTTGTAATTTGTAAGGTCTCTGCATGTTTAATTTCTTGCAGCAGCACTTGCGGTCGAATTGTCAAATCCTATCAATTAAAAAAAAAGTTCTTAAATTATAATGGTGCAATATTAATAATATTTAAATTCATTGCTTTTATTCCTTTTAAAATCTTTTTATAAACACAAGTTTGGGTTCTTCAATTTAATATCAATTTGTTTAAAATATTATTTATAATAATGACAATCATAGTTGACTGTTTTTAATTAAACAAGCAATAAAAAAAGAAATAAAAGAATATATATACCTCAGACATAACCATCCATGGACCAAGCTTTAAGCCCGTTAAAATCGCAGTAAGTTGAATAAGCACTTATTCTTTTTCAGAAATCTCCTCCTCATGCACAGACGCTACCAAAAAAAAAATGTATGGTAAATCATTGCTAGAGATTACAGCCCATGGCTCACCAAAATTAACACCTTTAATTGTGGTTAACCATAATAAAATTCTATGAGCTGATTGAAAGTTTTGAATCATGGGCATATTGGCTGAAACGTACATAGCCTGGTAGCTCAGTCCTAGGCCTAGAGTATTTATTTTCATCATCACAGTGACACACATGTTAAAAAAAATATGACTGACCTACCGCATATGAAATACGTGTATCTGCATCTTTTGGTTGATACAGCAATACGATCTCAGGCTGTCTGGTCAACAAACTTCTTCCTTTAGACAGAGCAGACGTTGCAACATGGAGGCCAAGGTTAAATTTTGGCGGTCTGTTGTTTAAATTAATTGATCACTGAGCCCGACTTTTTGAAACATTCTTCCGATCCCGATCAAATTGTACATAACATTCAGGAGAAACAGAGAACTGCTGTTAACTCCAAGACAGTTTTTATGCACCCAAATTTTTTTGGGGCGCATATTGTTTTTGTCCTGTCTGTCTGTTTAGCTGTATGTCTGTCTGTTTGTTTGTCTGTTGTCAACTTTAACCTTCGCCATAACTTTTGAACCATGAGACTTAGAGACTTCATATTTGGTATGGATACTCCACTACAAAAACACTTTCAACTGACACCAAGGTCAATGACCTTATGACCTTGACTGTGACCTATATGCTAAAAATAGCTTTTTCGAACTTTCGCTATAACTTTAAAACCGTGAGAGATAGAGACTTCATATTTGGTATGCATACTCCACTAATTAGGCACCTTCAACCGACACCAAGATCAATGACCTTGTGACCTTGACTGTGACCTATGTGCTAAATATAGCTTTTTTCGAATTTTCGCCATAACTTTTGAACCATAGATGATAGAGACTTAATATTTGGTATGCATACTACACTAATAAAGTGCTTTCAAATGACACCAAGAACAATGATTGTGTGACCTTGACTGAGACCCATTTGCTAAAAATTGCTTTTTAGAACTTGATGTTGCCGCCAGGTGCTACTGTGTCTCACAAACACATCTTGTTCTTGATGAAAAAATTCTAAGTCCAGAGCTCCGTATTTTTTCCGGATGAAAAATATTCTAAGTTAAGAGTTCAATATTTTTCCAGATGAAAAATAGACTAAGTCCAATTCTCCGTATTATTTCCGTTTATTTTCCGGATTATTTCCGTATATTTTCTGCTTTTCCGTATTGTTAGTTTTCTCCGTATTTTTTTCCACATTTTTTCCATATTAAAAGGTAATGACTAGATGCTATGGCGTAAAAGAAGTCGAACATGAGTTATCGTTCATATATCGAGTTATCGTTCATAAGATGCGTAATACGTCATCACTAGAGAACTATTCACTCGTACATGGAATATTCCACATGTGTTAAGATAAACAGAAATAAAATAAATATTCTTTAATCATATTTATTCGATTAGTAGTTTATATTTATTTCATATGTAATTTACAATGGGGTTATTATATATGAATCCCTATGCCGAAAATTGGAAATGTCAGTATATATAAACAA